CTAGTCTTGGAATTCTCCCATGAAGAGCATTGTTGACACTGACCATAGCTTTGAAGCTATGCAGTGCTTGTTCTGGACTGCTGAGGTTCTCTTTAGAGCGATGAGGATGAATGGGATCAAGAATGAGGACATCAGACAGACCGATCTTGTTAGATGTGTTAGATGTAGATGGTTCAGAGAGACAATGATTCTAGGGGTTAGAGCCATGGTTTATGTGGCTCCCTGAAACCTGGGAAGATTCACCACTGTTCTGTTTCCACTTGGGTCTCTGGCTGCATTATAACATATTAATCTTTTCACAGACTAATAGAGCTCAGTGAAAATATGTCTTGTCCTTTCTTCAGAAATCTAATGACCTATATTTCTTTGGATTTAGATTATTATTGATTTTTTTCCCTATTTGAAATATGATATTTGCTGTTGCTCTAAGTGTCTCTATGTTTTAATTTGTTTTACTTTTGTGCGACCAGACTGTTGTGTGTTGCAGATTTCTGTTCAGGTCCCTCTCGAAATGAGGAAAATAAATAAATAAATAAATAAATAAATAAATAAATAAATAAGAAATATCTAAGTGTGACCCAAGCAGAAACAATAGAAATCTGTAAATGCTTTTAATGACATTATGCTATATTTAACAGTTACAGTTGACCATATTTATTTAAAAAAAAAAAAACCAGTCCTTATGAGAGCAGAGGACAGTATTTCCTATGTAATGTTATTTCCATGCAGGTCCAGCTCCGTGTCCTTTAAACAGACAACGTGTCCGGGTCTACAGTCAGAATCAGTGTTCGTGAGTGTGCAACTATTGACAGTAATTTGTTGAATTAATGTGGCGGTTAGGTCAATCTAAGAGTGTTTTCAGCTGAGAGAAAAGGGAACTGACGTGCGTCTCCTGCCTCTCTCCAGCACCGGGATTCGTCGTGTCGATTTGTTTGTTTATTTCGCTCTGCGGCGCGTGCCTTGTGCTGCTGATGCCGCGCGCTTCCCAGTGACAAAAAGCCGCTCTGCAGTTTGACCAATCAAAGCGCTTATCAGACTTTATCTCTGTGGCGAACAAGTTCCACAGTCTCATGCCTGTCACATTTTTGCCAGTGCGTCAAAAGAAGAGATGATACCGGGTTCAGAGCGCCCCTCCTGCGGTCCCAAGGTCTCTCTTGTGGAATCCCCGCTGGACCTTTAAAAGTAAACATGCCGTGTAACGCCAGGGTCCTGCTTCTTCTTTTTCTGTCTTTGATTCTAATGGCCGAGTCTCGGAAGCTGGGAAGCAGGAGAAAGCGGTGGTCCGAGCCGGAGGAGACTCTCAAACCAGGAAAGTAAGTATTCTTAGATTCAGTTCCACCATGAGGTCAGAACTGATGATCAAAACACTGTCGATCAATGGAAGACACTCATCCTCCATCCATTCGTCCTTCAATATGCACTCAGTCTGGAACTCTATTCTGTGGAGCTATAGAGACAGCTGTCGGGCAGCTTAGATTTGTGAGAATGAACAAAAGCGGATGTGTTCTGTTGATCATGTCCATCCGGACTACTCGGTTTCCTGGGCTCGCGGTGAGCCAGCCAAGTCGTGCGTAAAAAGACAGTCAGACGCAGAGGGGAGATTCTTACGTGATTCAGAAGCGAAAGAGGACTTGTGCTTGCCTGCACAAATAGGTTTAAGGTTTTCATTTAGCTAAAATTAAAAAAATAATAATAAGAAGAAATCATCATCCCCTCTTTGTTTTCTTTTTCACCATTTCAAAATAATACATTCAGACATAAGAAACACACATTTCCAAATTCAGGATTTTTCACATCATAAAGCCTTTCAAACAAAAATTTTCTCTGATCTCCAAACCAAAGGCAGGAAGCTAAGAAGACAGAAAATAAGGTTACAAGATCGAGCTTGTGTACATTCAAAAGTCTCAGTTTAACATTTCTTTGGGTGTTTATGTCTGAAATTAAATTGTATGAAATTTAAGTTAATCAAGTAAATGTAATTGAGTCTAGATAATCTGCACCTCTGCTCTGAAGCAGTGCTCCTCCCAACAATTCTGACTTTCTGAAAGCTGAAGTTGGATGTTTTCACAGACAGAATTTTAATTTCCAGTGCATTTACCAAATGAAGCCAGGACTTCATCTGTTTATTGTTTGTGCTGCTTGTTACCCATCTCATTGTCTCAAAAGCTTTCATACTGTAACGTTTTTTTTTTTTTTTCCATATTCGTTAAGAGGAAGAGCAAACCAACTTGGCAAACATCCTTCAAGCAGAAACAAGCATCAAGATAAATATTAATATAAAATGAACCTGAGATGAGAATTTACATTGGACAGTAAAATAAAAAGATGTATGATATCCTTTATCACACCATTAATGTCTGTATTTGTCTGACTCTGGAAAAAAAAAGCGCATTTATTTGTCTCTGAAAATAGTTCCAACCGTGTATTTATTCAGCGATTTAATTTAAAGAACTGTGATGCTCTTTTTTTCAGTTCAACCATTCATTTATATGATGACTGATCCCAACCCACTGCCTTGTAGGTAGACATGAAGACAGACATGTTGTGATGTACTGCACTGTGTTAACTGACACCACAAGGACATAAAGTGGACCCCACTACATGGCAGAGTGACCAGTTTATGTAGTATGACTCAAACAATCCTCTGATACATGTACCTCAGACCGGCTAGGTGACAGTACGTAGAAAACGTCGTTCTAGATTCCATCCTACAGGTCACCACCAACCCATCTGTGATTCTAACAGATTTTCCTCACTCAGCAACACACCCATTGTGAAGCTGACTCTGGTAACCATCAGAAAGGTGACATTAGAGACACCAGCAGCCATGTTTGAATGTTTACCAGGAGCCAGAATGGGCCACCTCAAAGAATAAGCATAAATAAAGTAAGATAGTTGTTTATGCTGGTGGTGATGACACCCAGTTACGCCAGTCAGAGGTCGCTGTTGCTTGAGTGTGTAAGTTTACTAAAACAATGTCATTTTTTCTGGTCTCCAGCCTGATTGGACCAGTGATGACATGTTGCCGTTCAACTGCTGGTTGTCTAAATGGAATCCTGAAAACAATGTGGGCTACATTGATAATTGGCAAACATTTTGGGAAAAACCTGGTCTGATCCAGAGAGATGGTATCATCCCACTTTGGATGGAGCAGCTTCTTCTCTCTAGGAAATTGCCCAAATTGATTATTCCTTCAAAACAGTGACAGCCGAGGCTCCAGACCAGGAAGCAGAATTATGCAGCTTAATTTTTGCTCTTGCTAAGTGATTGTCCAAGAGCAGGGAATGCTGCAAGTCAATGACTCATTGTAATCTGTTGAGTTTCTTATAGAAAACTTTTACAACCACTTTGAGATACAAACTGCACATGACTACATTATTTGAAAACTACCATCAATTGGAATGTATCAATGATTGTTCTGAACTTCTGTTTTATGGATTGGGTCAAAATAAACCAAATTTAATTCAATTAAAAGAGGACCAGTTCTGAAGGAGGTCCAAGAATTGATTTGATTCAGTTTTTGATTCAATTTAGTTTGACCAAGGTCAGTTTGAAGAGTAGTCATCTGGGATCAGGGATGGATTTTGAGTTCAATTCTAGCTTCCCCACCATTACACGCTGAAGTATCCTAAAGCAAAACACTGAAATTCCAGTTTCCTACAGATCTTCACATCTATGTAATTTGGAAGTTCACACAGTTTTTCTGTACAGTTCTGATAGCAAACAGAAGGTTTACAAAATATGATTATGGTAAGAAAGAAAGGAAATCATAATATGACCCATTCATTTACTCTGATCTCCTTTTGTTCTTAGCATCGTCATTCTGTAACTGTTCTGGCATGCTTCCTGTTTCGCTTTTTCCATGATCAAGTTGAACATGATTATGTGTCTTTGTAGGACCCTGGGGGAAACACCTGATGCTGTAGTTCTTGTTGGGAAGACAGGCTTGGAGGCTGGCATGGTGAACGGGTGTGTAGCTCATAGAACATTAATGTCAGTCATTCAGCAACAGAGATCTAATTCTATTTCACTGTTCTAATGAGACATTGCCTCAAGTTGACCAACTTAAGATGTAATCTAACAATAAATTGGAAGACTGAATCAGCTGTCATTTTATTTGATACATTTGGTGGACATTGTCCACATCCATATTCCTTCATACTTATTAAAGGTTTTATTCTACAAACAAAAGTTTGTCCTCAAGTTTATATTTAATTGGTGGCAGGAAACTTTTTGCGCACATTCTTGCAGAGGCCCCAAGGACTTTTGAAGAGTTTTTCTAGAATCTGGCTTTTAATTTTTTTTATGTCCAGTTCTTGTACCTGACCATGATTTTGTGAATGTCTGCATTGATAATTGAATAGGTGGTAAAATTAAGAAGGTTCAGGCTTAAAAACTCACCGAAATAAATCTGTTTCAAAGAAAAAGAAAGAAAATCCAGTAAGATGCCAGACTAGAGAGATCCTTTAACCTCCATCTGTTGGATGAAAGGTTATCAGATAAGAGCTATCCAGGAATCATAAACTCTTTGAGACACATCTGAAAATAGTCAGATACCTTTCTGAAAATAACAAAAACAGTGACAGTTCAAATAAAAGCAGCTTATCAGGCCAAAAAGGCTTTTAAGGACTGCATAAAAGTTTGGTTCCTCTCAAGCATAATGTAAAGAAGTCATAAAAAGCCTTTGTAGTCTGTAATTATAAGTACAGTGTGTATTTCTTGATACTTCTTTGCACAGAATAAAAATGTGTTTATTATTAGCATATATAAAGAGGCATAGTTTTGAGCAACAAAGATCAGTTTTGCTGTTCACATGGTCACCTTGTCATTGTTTAAAATATGTTGATTCTTTCTCCCTGTTTCTCTGTTTACTCTCCTCAGTCCTCTGTCAAGGAAGATCATCGATGGCACCAAAACACGAAAGCTGAAAACCAGTCACCTTCTGCGTGTGGACGAACACGACTTCACCATGAGGCCAGCATTCGCAGGTAAGCAACTTCTCTTGAAAGCTACCACTACTTTAGTAGATATTCTATTCTATTCTATTCTATTCTATTCTATTCTATTCTATTCTATTCTATTCTATTCTAGTCATATTCTATGAAAATAAATTGAGATTCATTTGACCAAAAAAATTTAAGTCCAATTCAATTCACTCCATTCCAGTCCAACCAGTCTCAAGTAGTCAGATTCAGATCCAGTTACACCCAGTGAGTTGTTGACAGCAGTACCTCTGTTCAGTGGCTCCCTAACACCATTAGTTTTTATAGATCAGTTGGTTTCCCTCCCTGCATATTTCTTCAGTTTTTTTTTTTGTTAGTTTTTTTTTTTTTTTTTGTCAAAATTACATATGTCAGAAGATAAAACAAATTTTACCATCAAGCAAAGATAACCCAACTAAACACAAAATGCAACTCTGATGATGATTTAATTTATGAATACATAAAAAGTTATTGAAAGCAATCTGGCACAGTGTGGACAGAAATGACCCCTTTGTCTGAAGGTAAATTTACCGTAAAAAACTTTTCTTTTTTTTTTTTAAGCTGCACTCAATTCCTGAGCCACACCTGCCTGTTATCACTGTCGCAATGTAGAATTAAGATACCATTTGAATAAAATCTGAATGAAAACAAGAAACGGTGTAAAAGACCTCAAGGTCAGAAAAAAATTCAAAAATAAACGAGAAGCAAGGTCTATCAGTCTGGAAAGGGGAACATGTGGAGTAAAACTAAAACAAAGACAAAAGAACATTATACCAACAGCTGAACAGTTACTTGCTGCAAGTAAATATAATTTCAGCTCTCCACCTGAAAATTCTGAATTTAGAGAATTTCAAGCTCAGACAAACTTGGGTTTGGCATTAAGTCCAACTCATCACTAATAAAAGTTGACTCTGGAATAGCCTAGTTCAAGTCTGCACTTAAATCTGACTGGAATGATGTGGCTCAACCCTAAACATGCAGTTCATGCTAAACATCTGATGGTAGCTGTTGTTGCCAATGGTGATACAACCAGTTTTACTTCACATAGGAGAGCTTTGTTCTGATATCTTTTAATTCATAACTAGGGTAAGGGTTAGGGTTAATGGAAGTAATACTTCCAAGAGCCACAGCGATAGAACCATGTTCCATCACACTGAGTTAAAGTGACAGAACCCTGCAGAACCTGGAACAGAACTCCTCCCCTCGCCTCATTGTTACCATGGAGTCGTGCTTCTTGCATCTGTCTACAGCACTGCCAGGATTTTCTGAAGCTGTTTGAGGTGTTTTTTTTTTTGTTTTTTGTTTTTTTTTGTATTTTCTTCAATACATCATTTCCACCATATGTTGGCAGAACCATTCTGTCATGTTAAGTTTGTAGTCATTATCTCTGTGGTTGCTTTGCACCTTGAATGTCAGAAAAAGCCCCTGCTGCTTGAATTTTAGCAGGCAATTAAAAATAAGGAGCTTATGATTCAACTAAAGAGTCCAGCTCTTTGCTGTTTAGAATTAAACAGCTCTGTTTAAACCACTAGAGGAAACGGACCGTGGTGAATTTTAGGACAACAGTTGCAGCCACAGATGGGAGCATACGTCCCACTGAGGAGCCTTTTGTCTTGTATTTACTTATCGTTATTGTCAGATCCTGCAGAAAACTCATTCTAGCATCACCAAACACTGACTTGTGTGAGCAGTGAGCATCCCATTCCCTTTCCAGGGAGAGAGATTTCAGTGCAATCCTCTGACTGAGGGAGAATTGTGAGTCAAACAGCTGCTCTGGTTCCTCTCAGTGTCATCAAAGCTTCTTACAGAACTACTTCCTGTTTGTTGACTGCACCACAATAATTGAAACTTTCTTTCTGATCATGATTCTGGAAACACAACCAAGTAAAATGCAGTTATGCCAGATGATTTTTTTTTCAAACAGTAAACAGTATAACAGTGAAGTTAATTTTATTTGTCCAAAACAGAATCCAAAATAGCTTTATTATTAATGTTTACCTAGGAAAAAAAAAACATTTTATGTCCAGTAGTATGATCTGTTTCTGGTGTCATAACTAAATCAACAGCACCAGCTCCCTTTGGTCAGACCTAATTCAAACAGTGGAAGAGATGGGGAATATTTGTCATCACGTTACTTTTGAATTTCTTTGAATACAGCTGTTTGATCCTCTCTGCGTTAGGTTGAAAAACATAGATGAAAACAGATAGATCCACCATGCATTAGTCCATATTTGTATAAAAATAGCACTGAGATATTCTGCCAAAATATCGACTCTAATGCATTGCATCACTGGAATTCCCTCTTTGGATTTACCCTTGTAATGCATAGGCCTAGCTGTCTGATCTAAGCGTGATGAACCAGTGCCGGATTTACAGCTGCTAATCCAAGAGCAGATGAGTGTGGGATGGGTGTCCTCAGCATCTGTAGAAATGACATGAAGATTATTCTGTGATCGCTAAGTTTGGAGAAATAAAGAGTTGGGATTTCTTTTAGGAGCACCTGTATACAGAATATGTAGAGTTACTTTAAATGGTGTACTTGTTCATGGCTTCAGATGTAAAGTGAGTACATATCAAATCAAATTGTGCAAAATATGAAACACACAGCTGAGATGGAAATTAATAAATTACTAAGCAAACTGTGTACTGGTATTATATTGGGTTAAAGGTAGTTATGTCAGATTTAGTAATTATCTCAGGTTTATATTAGCATCAGAAAATTCTAATTCCCTGCATGCAAACTGGTTTATTAATAACTAAAATTGCTGGCCTTATGGAGAGCATTTCCCATGAATCCCACTAACAAAATGGTTCACCTTATTTGACCTTTATTCTGATTGTACATATGTTTTAGCATTGTGTTTCATATTATTTCTGAGTTATTACCTGATAAGCAGTAAGGACAGAACATCATCCTGCTCTCCTCTGCCAACATTCAGCCTGGAGACACGGACCATTTAAAACATCTGTGCTCGCAAATAACCAACATTAATTAACTGAATTTCTTAGTGGTTATTATACAGACAGTGGTGTAACTTTCTGAATTAGGAACAGAAAGGTTGCGTGCTTAATGACTCACATAATTAGCTTAATTAAAAAGGAATCAGCTGGTTGACTGAAATCTCAAACCCACCTAGTATAGCTACTTTTATGACAAAGTATGGAAACAAATAAATTATATTTTTTATTGTGCTCATGTGTTTTTGTAACATTTGCATTTTAAAAAGGAAGATTTGGAATTATACAAGCTGTTGGGCTTTGGCAGAACTCTGAAAAAAGAAAAGACGTATCATTAAGACTCCTCTGGCAGCCTGAGCCCACAGATTGAGTTGCATTCTAATTTGACTTGAGGTGCTCTCTGCTCTTGGATGTTTGTGTGTGCGTGTGCGTGTGTGTGTGTGTGTGTGTGTGTGTGTGTGTGTGTGTGTGTGTGTGTGTGTGTGTGTGTGTGTGTGTGTGTGTGTGTGTGTGTGTGTGGTAGGTTGGGGGTGTAGCTTTCTGGCCATAAGGAAATGCCAGTGGATGCACTTTAGCATTACACTGAAGTGCTGTTGAGAGCCATAAAGAGTCATCAGGAGCTGTGGAGTGGAGCTTTGCTCTGACACACTAATAGGTGTCATCTAAGAATTAGTGATTACTGGGAAAATTTTCTGATGCAAAAAAAAAAGCTTCAAAACAGCAAAAAGGCTTTGGATCAAACACTCATGCACCCTGTAACCAGGGGAACACACACAGCTCAGAAAAGCTTTCTGAGTCTAGTTGTGGCCATGTGCAGCTGCAGACTGAGCTGAGGCACCAGCAGACCTCTGCTTCTCATTTCTGCTTTTTCAGCAGGTGTCTGATGTTATGTCACACCAGCTGAAGCTCAGGATTTAATGTGTTCGGCACGTGTTGTGGGGCATATGGTGTGAGTAAGAGAAAGGAGGACAAGACCGACAGCTGGAACTGGGCAGGAGTTAATATCCCATCTTCCAGGTAGCAGATTTGCTGGGCCTTGGGTTATGTAAGGCTGGCACCCGTACGGCTTCACAGATTAACTAGACCACAGCAGCCAATGTCACTGCACTGAACAAATGACAGAAGGTTCTGTCTGTTTGTTTTTTTCTACTAATGATAAGGTTAGTAGGATACTCTTCCATATCCCTTTAAATCCCAAATTGTCCTTATTTCTAATCCACTCAGTCAGTTGAGCAACACACATCAGTAAACTGCAGAATCCTGTCAACTATTTAACCAAAAACATTGTGTGAAGTGATGTGTATTATTAGTCATGGCTTACCAGAGTATTCTATCCTCTTATTTTATGAGGGAGCGCTTCATGACAAGGAAGCAGACGACATCATGAGTAGAATAACACTGTTATATTTATTTTTATCAGAAACTCTGGCTGATAAAAAAAAAAGCTATTGGCTGTGAGCCAATTCACTTGATTCAGTTCAGATATTTATAGAGTTCGACTCCAACTCAGATCAGAGTCATTTCAGGTCAGCTGGCATAAAACAAAATATTCTCTTCCATTAAGACCAATTTACTCATGTTTGGTCCAACTGATCCAATGCTTGTTCCAGAACCAAACTGATCAGAATTAAACTGTGTTTAATAGAATGAATTAAGCTGACTTGAACTAAATGTTATTTAGCTTGTATAGTGAATAATGAGCTGAATTCAGTCTGAACCTGATCTCAGTCCATGTCAGTTCAGCTCATTTTAACTCAACATTTAATACATCAGTCATACATTATATTAGCCCCTGTGAAAAAATAATATATCTAAGTGCATTTTAAATATGCTGTATTTTTCTGAAATACATTTTTAGTGGGTTATTGAGTAGATATACTTGCTATAGTACAATTCTGTGATAGTACATTGGCAATGTACAAAATGTAATTTTTCTTCAGCCGTAAAGTGTGTTGAACGTCATCCTTCTGTGTTCTGTGTTCTGGTAGCCTGATGTGTTTGCAGTACTGTGTATATGAAGCATGTAAGAAACAAAGTGGCAAAGCAGA